CCATGAAGAGTATTCACATTTTACCACAGCTAAACAAACACAGAAAGCTGAGGGAAGGAGTGGCTCGAGCCCAGGACAAGGCTGCAGTTGCAGGAGCCAAGATCGACCACCACTGGCACCCCGCCTGGTGAGCAGAACCGCCAACGCCAGACCCTGTCTCAAAAAAAAAACCAACCAAAAAAAAATGCCAACAGTCACCCCACACGCCTTCCCAGCAACCACCACTCGCTAATCAGTGCAGCAGCGCCAGCAACATCAATGCAAGCCCTCCTATCCCAGGCCATGCTTTCACTCAACAGTATGACCGATAAAGGCCCAGTGATTGTTAGCCATTTTTAGCCAACTGAAGTTTATCTTTTCTTTTCACAAAATGGACGCTCTCGTTCTGTTACCTAGGCGCTGAGTGCAGTCGGGTAGATCTCAGCTCACCTGCAACCTCTGCCTCCTGGGTCCGCGAATATCACACAAAACACCACCTCAGTAGGCTGGACAAGCACTGCCCCACCATGACACCTTCGGTACCATTTTTGTATCTTTTAGTAAAGAAATGGGGTTCCACCATGTAGGGCAGGCGCGGCTTGAACTCCCTGACCTCAAAGTAATCGCCCCCTCCACAGCCTAAGGCTGGGATTAGCACGGTGTGGGCCAACCGCGCAGCCTACGTATGCACCCGCGGTGAACCCAACAAACGATTGTTGCTGACTTGCGAACTGTGATAGCCGCCTAATTCGTGGTGCCTGCACCCTCGAAACCCACAGCGTATCTCCAAAGCGTCGGCCTGTACGCCTAGAAGTGAGCGTTCCAGCTCAACGTCGCATTTTACTTTATAACACCAAATGCCTTGCAGCGGCCACAGTGGCCCTCCACACTGAATCCCAGCACCTTGGGAGGGCGGCAGATCCGCTGAGCTCAAGGTTGAGACCAGTCTGGGCGCCAGCATGGCAGAAACTCCATTCTCTTCACCACCAAAATACAAAAATGAGTAGGCCCCCAGGTATGGTGGCACATCTGCCTGTAAATCATCCCGCTACTCAGGTCGTGGCTGAGCGGCGCCAGGAGAATTGCTGAGGCCTGGAAGTCGGAATGGTCTTCAGGAGCCAAGGATAGTGAACCCACTCGCACTGCGCAGCGCTGGGTGAACGAGAGCGAGACTCCGTCTCAAAAAACAAACAAGCAAACAGACTGCTGCAATGTTTTCCCAAGTGAAGCTGTCTCCAATTTGCTTCCCTCCGCAGCCAGTGTTAATGAAGGCCCAGTTTCCCACGTCC